ACGGAGGCCGAGGAGGGGGAGGAGGTTGCAGATTGAGAAGGAGAGGAAGTTGGAATGTTGGGCGTTTTTCTGTCCTCCATGACTCCGGTCAATAGCTCTTGAATCATTTTTTTTTTCTTTTTTTCCTTCCCCCAAAGTTTGATGCGAAGGGATTGAGAGAAGTTTGGGAGGGTTAGCAAATAAGAGAAGTTAGGTTTGGGAGTGAAGAGTAAAGGAGCGGAGGTTAAGAGGAGTTGGTGGGGTTTTATATATAGGGGGAAGGTGGGGGAGGGGAGGTGAGGGTGAAAGAAGTTACTTTGTCTCTTACCTCAAAAGCAGTATTCAAGAGCACAGGGTTCAAGTTCTTTCTCAGTTTTTCTTGTTATATTAAGACTACAGGTACGAATTGCACCCTTCATTTCTTTTTTCTGTAAGTACTGTGCGAGTAATCTATGTATCCACTTAATTCTCATTATTGATTAGCTAAAGCTACTTAATAATTTGTGTTGAAGGCTGTCGTGTTAAAGAGGTTTAGTTTTTTGTTTAAGTGTGGCAAAATGATTAATTTAGACCTTTTCATTGTCACTTCACCGTAAAGAGAGAACCTATTCAATCGTAAATGCATAAGATACTTTCGATAATTTTGATTTATTCACGCTTAGTAATTTTTGCGGACTACTTATGTTCAATTTCTATTAAAAATGGATAATAATAATAAGAGAAAATTGCTTCTAGCTCCCAAATGAAGAATCAAACTTGACTCACCTCCAAGACTTAGGTCAACAAACCAAAAAGCCCCTCAAATCAACTTTGCAACGCTTCTAACCCTTAAATTTAGTGTCGCCTAAGCAAATGATAATTACATTTTATTACAAATTTATACCATCATTATCTATTTTACATGAATATGTATACCACTAATAATTATTTTTATCTTAAATTTCAGGTTAATGAAGAAATAATGATAAAAGCCCAAAAGTCCCTGACGTTCTCATTTTGTAACATTTTATTGAAGCCCGGAATCAAGCCAAGTAGCTTATAGAAGTCGAAAAAAAAATAAAAAAATCCAATATGAAAAAAAAATCATATTCAAGATGAGTGGCCGTAAAAAAACGACGATATCTCCCAATCCGAAAAGCGGAATTTAACATATAATATATAAAAATTATCTATCTCGACGGGACGAAGCCATCTGTGAAGTCAAAATTTGGATACAATGGGTATCAATGCTAGCATCTATGCCCCCATCGATGTAGTTTTCCTGTAGCGAGATTAATGGCTAATTTTGAGTGGCTTGGGGCTCAAGTCTAATCCAAAGGCTCTTATTCATTGCTGTAGGCTATAAATAGGGGTATAGAGTGAGGGGTTGAGGGGTGAAAAATTTTATAACTCCACTTGGAGAGGAATGTTACTTTTAATTGAGAAGATCTTCCAAAATTATAACTTTTTGTTACAATTAATAAAAAAAAAATTTTACCTCTTCATATTTTTCTTTTCTTCTCTTTATTTGATGATGAAGATGAAGATGGAGATAGATGAAGATCAAGATGGAGGTTTGCTTTCACCTTGAGGCTAGAACCCTCTCGGGATGTGTTAATATTTTTATTTTTTTGCTTTATTTTCCTGTTAAATAGACAAGAGACTAGAACCCTCTTACCTTAGATTTATTTTCATACTTATAAAGTAGATTTACTTTTATTTTTTTACATTTAATTTTTACAATTTATTTTATAGTTTAGTTCTTACAATTTATTTTGTAGACAAAGAGGACTGAGGCAAGGGGATCCTCTATCCCCCTACCTATTCATTCTTGGAATGGAGTATCTGACGAGGAGTCTGAATATGCTGAAGTGTGATAAAAACTTTAAGTTCCACCCCAAATGCAAAAAGCTAAATATTACACATCTAATATTTGCTGATGATTTACTCCTTTTCTACAGAGGGGATTATTATTCTGTTAACAAACTTTTCCAATGTGTTAAATCTTTTGGAGCTTGTTCTGGGTTAGAGGCAAATCCAGCAAAGTGTTCCATCTTCTATGGTGGAGTGTCGGAGGATACTAAACTTGCCATTGCCAACTCCCTGGGCTTCCTTGAAGGAACTTTACCTATAAAATACCTGGGGCTTCCTTTGATTTGCAAAAGGATGTCATACCAAGATTGTAATCCTCTGATCATGAAAATTTCCAGCCAATTCCAAAACTGTCTGAAGCACAAGCAGTTGTCTTATGCAGGAAGGATACAGATAATCAAAAGTGTTATATTAGGTGTCCAAATTTTCTGGACTTCTAGTTACATTCTTCCAATTAAAGTATTGCACAAGATTGATGAGCTATGCAGGAGTTTTTTATGGGGCAAATTAGATCAGGTGCTCAAGGCTGCTCTTGTGTCATGGAATAAAATCTGTGTGCAAAGGAAACATGGAGGCTTGGGCATTTTCTCAGCTCAACTTTGGAACACTGCTGCTGCACTAAAGCTTCTTTGGAACATTCACATGAAAAAGGAGCAGCTATGGATTAAATGGATACATGGGAGTTACCTAAAAAACATGTGTATCTGGCAGGTTAAAGCTAGGAAGGGGGACTCTTGGTTGTGGAAGCAACTCTTGAAAATCAGAGATAAATGTCTGATAATGTGTGGAGGGATTGAAAGTCTTAAGCAGCGTATAGCCTCTTGCATTGTCAATTCCAGATTGCAACTCTCTGAGCTGTATACCAGTCTGCATCCTATCTCTGCACCTGTAACATGGCATGATACTATTTGGGAGAAACTGAACTACCCAAAGCATTCATTCATCTTGTGGCTGGCAGTACAAGATAAACTTCAAACTCAAGATAGATTAATGAAGCATGGGATCATTCAATATTCAATATGCAAGCTATGTGATGGCTCATATGCAGAGAACCGTAGCCATCTCTTCTTTGAATGCTCAATGTCTACTTATGTCTGGAATAGCATTATGGAGTGGCTCAAATTCAAATGGAGATGCTGTGTATGGTCCCCCCTCATGAATTGGTATAGTTTCAGATTGAGGGGTAGTGGTTTAAAACAAAAAAATCAAGAGGATGGCATTAGCGGCTACTGTCTACAATATTTGGAGAGAAAGAAACTGTAGAATTTTCAAGCTGCAAAGTAGAACTGCTGATTGCTTGATTAAGAACATTAAGTTGGACATTCTAACTGCTATTTTAAACAAGTCTCTGTCGGATGAATGCAGAGAATGTGTCCTCTCATTATAGAGCTCACTGCAATCTCCATGTTGCCAGGAAGGTGCTGCATATGGTGAGGAGGTAAAATTTTAGACTGCTTCAGTCTGATTGTATATCAGTATACTTCATGCACAGTTTATACTGTATTATAGCTTATACTGTACTGTTGATTACCTGTATTTCTCATGATTGTTGAGCTCTTATATTAGAGCTGCAAGAGGCTATCTCACCTTTTGGCAGTGAGATTCTTGATGTATATACTTTCTACATTTTGTAAATGAATAAAATTTTTTCATTTACCAAAAAAAACATCCATATAAAAATTGCAGCTACAGTGAGAGGAGCCACTACTTGCCTTCAACTGGTAATGGATAGTTAAGTGATATAGTCATTATATCCACTTTTATTTTCCTAATCAGTTGATCAATATTCCTGAGCTTTCCTTTGAAAATTCTATCATTTCTTTCACTCCAAATATTGTAGATTGTGACAGAAAAACCCAATCTCTTGATCCTTTGTGTGGTGCCCTTTCCCCTCAACCTGGAAATGTACCAATCCAAGAGCTTATGCCACTCTGCTTATTTCCATTTAAATTGCAACCAATCCATAATACTATTCCAAATTCTGTTTGAATAGCTACAATCAAAAAATAAGTGATTTCGGTTCTCAGTACTAGAACCATCACACAGACAACAGAGATTATTATGGATAATCCCCCATCTAACAAGTCTATCTTGTGTTAAAAGTTTATCTTGAACTGATAACCATGTAATGAAAGAGTGTTTAGGGTAACACAGCTTCTCCCATACTGTCGCATGCCAAACAACTTTTGTTGCAGCTGGGGATAGAACAACATACAAATTAGAGAGATGTACCTTTGAATTTATAGAGCATGAACTGGTTTTCTGCTTAAAATTTTCAACTCCCCCCCCCAATGCATTCAAAGCATTATCCCTTACTTTTATCAATTGTCTCCACATCCATGAATCACTAGATTTAGCAGATATATGCCAGATATCTCTGTTTTTTAGATAATTTTCATGAATCCACTTTATCCACAAAGATTCTTTATTCATATGGATGTGCCAAATAGTTCTCAATGCGGTTGCAATGCTCCATAGAGTTGCACAGAAGATCCCCAGGCCCCAAACTTTTTATCAGTGCATACATTTGTCCAGTTCACAAGAGGGATCTTAAAAGCTTGATCAGATTTACCCCATAGAAAATTTCTGCAGAGCACATCAATCTGACGAAGGACTTTAACTGGAAGAATGTAACAGGAAGTCCAGAATATCTGAATACCCAGAATTACACTTCTTATAACTTGCAGTCTACCAACATATAACAGCTTCTTATGCAACCATGTATGAAACTGGCCTGATATTTTCACAAAAAGAGAGCTACAATCCATGTATGACATTCTTTTACATATAAGTGGCAAACCAAGATATCCGATAGGAAAATTTCCCTCAGGGAAACCCAAACAATCCCTGATAGTGCCCTTTATTGATTCATCAATGCCACCATAAAAAATAGAGCATTTTGAAGGATTATCCTCCAGGCCAGATTTAACACCAAAGTCCTTGACACATTCATATATTTTTTACACTGAATAAGAATCTCCCTTGGTAAACAAAAGTAAATCATCAGCGAAAATTAGATGGGAGATTTTGAGCTTCCTACATTTAGGATGGTACTTAACGTTTGTCATTTTT